GGTTGACCGTGGCCAGATACCAGGTACCCACTACAGTTACTCTCTCCCTCTCCCTCTGCAACTGGACAGAGGAGAGAGAAAAAAAAACAGCTAAGGATTCATGAGTAGAGATAAGAGCTGGGAGAGGTCAGTGACTGATTACTTTCACAGGCAAAACAGACTCAAAGTGGGGATAGTACTTAAATTTATTACTAACAGGATAAGAGACAAAGAGTGAGAAATGAAACAGCCTTAAAAACACCTTCCCCCCCACCCTCCTTCCTTCCATGTTCTCCCTCCTCCCCCCAAGCCGTGCAGGGGGATGGGGAATGGGGATTACGGTCAGTTGTTGTTTCTGCCGCTGCTCAGAGAGAGGAGTCCTTCCCCTGCTCCCGTGGGGTCCCTCTCATAGGAGACAGTCCTTGATGGACCTCTCCAGTGTGAGTCCATCCCTCGGGCAGCAGTTCTTCCCAAACTGCTGTCCTGTGGGTCACTTCTCCATGGGGTGCAGTCCTTCACGAATGAGCTGTACCCACGTGGGTCCCCCACAGTCCTACCTGGGAAAAACCTGCTCCAGCGTGGGTTTCCCTCTCCATGGGCTGCAGGTCTCCGGCAGGACCCTGCTCCATCTTGGGCCTCCCATGGGGTCACAGCCTCCTTCATGCATCCACCAGCTCCAGCATGGGCTCCTCCATGGGCTGCAAGTGAGCCTCTGCACCCTGATGGTCCCCCATGGGCTGCAGGGGCACAGCTGCTCCACCATGGTCTGTACCACGGGCTGCAGGGCCTCAGCTTTAGTGCCTGGAGCACCTCCTGCCCTTCCTTTTGCACTGACCTTGGTGTCTACATTGTTATTCCCATGTTCTCACTCCGCTCTTCCCTGGCTGGAATTCCTTCTGAGCCACAACCTTCTGTTCTTAAATATGTTATCACAGAGGCATTAATATTACTCCTAATTGGCTCAGCCTTAGCCAGCTGCAAGAAGTCTGTCCTGGAGCCAGCTGGCATCGTCTCCATGGGACAGAGGAAGCCTCTAGCAGCTTCTAACAGAAGCCACCCCTGTAGCCCCCCCAGCTACCAAAACCCAGCCACAGAAACCTACTATACCTGTCAATACAGGCCTTAGGCAGTAAGTCCCTCTTAATTAATATACCTTAATAAGATATTAGGTAACTTCTCCAGACTGAATGGAGCCCCAGTCCTAGATCTCTCAGCCTTTTCTCTTAGGAAAAAATGCTCTAGTCTCTCTTGTAAGCCTTTGCTGGACACTGTCCAGTAGCTCCATATCCCTCTTGTACGGTGGATATACCAAGCTACACTCTTCATATATAACTTTTACAAAATCTTTTAAGATATTTCAAATACAAGTTGCATGTAAGATGCTTTGGGATTTATTTCCTCGCCTTTTCTTCTAATTAACCAACATGAGATGATTGTTGTATCTTCTTGGCATAACTTGATCCTAAGACAGGTCAAAAGATCGTGGCAGAGAGACACTTAAGTTTTTTCAGCTTTCAGGACATTCACATAATAAAGATCTCCAGACAAAGCTCTCACTTTACAGTCTGTTCCAGACTACAGTTTCTGAGACCTTTATACATATAAGCCTTTCAGTTGTGATTGTTGTACAAAGGAGGAAGACCTCATATATAGTTCTGCTTCAGAATAATAAACAGCCATTTGCAAAAGTGGTGTTGGATTACTGTGCCTTCACACAGCTTTCATGCAAGTCTACAGGGGGCTCCAAAACTCTTTGTAGTGATCTGTTTTGGATTAAATTACTGTAATGAAATTTACATCAAAACCAATTTCTGAATGTATCCATCTCTCTTCCTATACTCAATCAGGAATGAAGGAACGAAAGAAGGAAAGAAGAGAGGAAGGAAGAAGAGGATAATATTGCATTCATTGATTCATTCATCATTTCTTTTTCCATTTTTAGACAGTAAGATTATTTCATCTGCTCTCATATGAATTATAATTAATAGCATTAATAAGGTGCTTAGCCTACATTGAAAGAAAATTAATATTATTAGCCAGAGAATAATTCTCTAAGGCATGTCACATGCAGTGACATTATAACTGTGAATGCTTTCAACATTGAATTCTGCTATGCACATATCAGTATGCAAAAGCAGTAGACACACGTGGTCCCAGAGCTTATCCAGAGGCTTTGTATTTTTGATTTTTGACATGGATTGTAATCATACTCTTCAGCAGTGGTTTAACAAGTCACAAACATGAAATATTCAAATAAGTATTTTATTCGTGTGTTTTTCTCCTTCTAGAATGGAGATTGTCTTACAATTGAATTATTGTCCAATTTGGTATTGATTCTCAATAAAAACCAAAACAAATCAAAATGGAATTGTATTTAGAATTCTCGGTCTGGAGTGGACTTCTCCATCTTGCTAGAAAGGCTGTTGCTTTTTCAAGATGGTTCAATCTTGATATATATATATATCTTCAATCTTTTTCATCACTGGTACCTAACAGTCCTAATTCGTACTTCTACTTGCAACTTTGGAGGTTTTTTTGGTTTGTTTTGTTGTTTATTTGTTTGTTTTAGTCATCCACAAAGGTTTTCCACATTTCCCAGTGAGTAGAAAACATAATGTACGTTTCTTTTAGAACTGAGTTAAAGTTGTGGGTTTTTTCCTACCTGAGGTCAAAGGTTTCTGATGTTGTACTATAATGTAGTTTTCCATACACTCATTTTTATTTCATATGCTGGGTTGTCTTCACTTAGAAAGTTTTGTAGTATATTGTTATACCTGGGTTATTTTGTTCTTATTGCTTTTGCAAGCTACATTCTTCTATGCATAAATACTAAGTTCTGCCTACTGAAAACCACTTTTTCTGGAAAGATTACAGTTTTCACTTTTTCAACTTTTCTAGAAAATTTTGTTTGACTTTTCTACTGTAGCATCTTCAGAGGCATTCCAAGAAAATACTGGCTATTGACATCAGCAGTACACTGAATGAATCTACTTTGTCTAACTTACTTGATACATTAGGACTGGAATTTTCAGTGGAGGTTAATAAAAATAAGTACTTCAATTGAAAAAAAAAAGCTATATTATTCCTTCAGACTCCTTCAGAAATGACAGTCATAAATTTTTTTTCATCATGCTAATAATGCAGGAGAGGAACTAAATGCATTTTCTACTTCCTGGAGAAACTATGCCATATTTTATCATAGGAATCTTACAAGACAGAAGCAAAACCAAGTAGCCAGACCCCCAACAGAAATAAAATTTGATGCTTGTATTCTAGTAAATGACAGTCAAGGATCTGTTTCCTGATTAAGCTAACTCCACTGTCCCTGATGCTTTTGTAATGAACTCTAAAGGACAGTACATGAGGAAACTCATGTATCTCCTCCAAGTTTGTTCAAAATTCCTGTATTACCACCACTAAATTTGTATCTCTGATTTTATCCCATGCTTTTTAAATAGTATGCTTCTCTCCTACAGAAGTTTGACACATCTTCTAAGAGCCTGTGGTCATTCTGGAAAAGAGCAGTGGGTTTTAATGTTACCACCTCTACATCACTAAATAGCCTGAAACAACATCATGTCAGTTGCCCTGCTTTCCAGCTTGCTGTTTAAACAGTGGAGACACTCTCTGGGGAAGCAAGGAGGCAGAAAAATGTAATGGCAGAATGGCAGCAGCAAATGACCAAACAGGCTGGGATAAGATAAATATCACACAACAGAAAAAGAAATAGTAAAATCAAATGCAGACAGTAAAACCAGCTAACGCTCAGTAGCTTACTACAATGTGAATGCCAATAAAAATGATAACACATGCATACTTTTATCTAATACAAGTACTCAACTGACCGGATGCTGGTGGCCACTGAAAAAAGTGATAAAGTTTCAGGATAGATACAACTGGAATGAAAGCTGCTCTCTCTTTACAAAACCTGAATTACAAGAGTATTATTCTGTTATCTCCTACACTGAAAACCCTTCCTCAGCACATCACAGTTTCCCACAAAGGTTTTCCCCATTTTTGTAAATAATGCAGTCAATACCTTACAAATCACTAAATGTGCTGTGGTGCCTTTTGTCCATTGCTTCTGAAACTAGACTTCTTGATGGAAAATATCCAAAGAAATACGTATGTTTAACTGCACATACCAGCATAATTTATGTAGGCACCAAAACTAAATATCTGTTCATAGAAACTTAATAAGGAAGCGATATTTTCCTGAAGAAAGCTGATTTGCTCTGGTTTGCACTGAGAACAGAATCAACTTGGGGTACACAGGAAGAAGGACTGTAAACTCATCTTTAACCCTTATAATACTGCTATTCTACAATATGATTATTTACAAATATGAACTGTTACTTGTTTACACAGGCGATTATTTCTGGAATCAAAGAAACACTTCAATATATCTAGAGATATAGGAAACCTCTTGAAAAATATAAGGAGCAATTGCTCTTCAGCCTCAGAGAAGCTCTGAAGGGCAAATTGTTTGGTTTGACTGTTCTACATAAACAGAAATGGACCTCGCATTAGTGATTTCGATAATTCAGAGAACTCACTAAAATAATTAGCAAATTAGTTTTGCCAACAGTGAACACTATAGCCACTTCATTTGAAAATAATTTTATATGGATACCATGTGGTCACTTTTTGAATTAATATATTGTTTTATAAGGATAACCTGAACAGGTCAGATGGCACCCAGGAGCTCAGGGCATTGGATTTAACTACTCAGCTTTAAAAGTCCACAGTTACGTGACCACATCTCTGCTAAAGTCCATGCTCTATAGACTACCTTTAGAGTTAAAGACGAGAATAGGACATAATAATTTCGGCCATAAAGTAGATACTACAAGAGCTCAGATTATTGTGCTTTTTAAATGACTGTTTCTTTCCCCTAAGTATAAAGGACAAGTATGACAGATATACTGTAGACATCCTAATTGCTGGTCAGAATTTAGTGAACATGAACACAAGTCTTCCATGAATTCCGTTGATTGCTGTTAGAAGCACATGTAACATACCTACACTCCAGTCCATTTCCTCCACTGCATCACCATATAAGCCATGCTTGCTCTTTCCTCTGAAATTTTCTGAAGCATACAGAGCAGTGTGGACATGAAGATAAGACAAGACAAGAAGAAATGGTGCATCAGTGTTCCTGGAAAACAAACCAAATCCACAACTCCTTAGTATATTTTAGAACAAAATGACTACAAAGAAATCTTTCGACAGTAGAGTTAAAAAAAAGACTCTCCCTCTTCCCTGGTCTCCCTTCAAAACAAACCAACTAACCAACCAACAAACCAAAAAAAGCCCCCACCAAAACAAAAAAGAGAAAAAGGAAAACTGTAATTGATTACAGAGTAATCCAGAACAAACACACACTCAGTGAAAATGCCATTCTTATACTGAATTGAAAGCAAAAATAAATTACTTAATTCACCTAATTACTAGTTACTATATATATTGAAAGAGGACTTGTTTAAAGCCAGGAATCTAGCGGTTTCTAGAGAAAAAACACCTCTCTTCATTTTACAAGTATATATTTAAAAGCCTGAATACAATTGCTGTTCAAAAACATACCCTCAGAACTACATATCTACCTGAAACACAGCTACCTTCCTCACAAAGTCATGTGGAAGCTGATCTACTAGACTATTATGAGGACCTGGGTCTTTATCCTGGACTAAGGTATATGACCAACCCTCCTTTCATTTGAAGCTCTGTGTGTGTATGCATGTGATCAGAACCTCGAAGTACATACTGATATTAAAGATTTTTCTCCTCAAAGTAATGAACAGTCTCCTCTGTCTTCAGTGTATTTCCTGAACAGATGCATTAGAAAGAGCGCAATAAATAGACTCTGTAAATTTTGCTGTTCATGTGATCTGTCAACATGATATTTATGATTAGTTCTAGCAGGCTGTGAAAGCACAGCTTAAGCAAGTACTTCTCCTTATGCATTATTTATAAAACTTTACTTAAAACTGTGCCGTACTAACCAAATTTACTGCTATATACTCTAACAGCATTTGCAGTACATTATGCACATTGTAAATATCAGCTGAATCACAAAAGCACTACCCACAGAACTTGTCTGGATCTCACCTTAAAGCACACAGCTAATTGCAGTCTATTTTTAGTTTTATTGACCATATTTTCCCTTGCCAGTCTGGGGTGGATAATACCTGTGATTCATGTCAGCATCAAAGGGAGACTATATATTTCCTCAAGCAGTTGATTCATTCACCCTTTGAAGAGGGGAGGAACAATACAGACATGCTCATACAAACTGTTCCTTTAAAATTAACAAAATATCCTAACCTTTAGAACCTGTAAACAAAGTATTTTAGTAAAAGACATTAATCTGATATCAATACTTTCATCTTAAAGAAAAATAATTAATTTTAATGTAGTATATTTATGATGCATTTTTCCTCTCTCCTTGGTTGGATATGTTTTTGCAAAAGTGGCATGTTTTTTTACTGGCATATACAGCAGCACATAAACTCAAAATGGGAACATTTTATCCGCATTACTCCCTTGATAACCGTGTTTTTGACAGGGATTTTTTCTTTATAAATAAATTCTCTTTCTTCAAAAAAAAACTACAACATTTTCTTGTGGAAAATGGATACAAAATTATTTTATTTCTCTTACAAATATTTGTGCATGTATCCTGTATTAGCTTACTATTGTGAAGTACAGATTAAAAAAAATAATATTTTTTATAAAAGATACAATTTTCACAAAGTTGGTTATTGCTATTTGAAAGGTCATACATGTGAGAACTTTTCATTTTTGTAGCAACAAATAACACGGGACTTCCGAGTCAATTAAAACGCTTGAAAATATCACCACTTCAAGCAAAAAAAAGATGTATACTTATAAGTAAAATATTTAATATACACATAAATATAACACTGACTTTTCATTAGAGAATATTTCTGCAAGGCAGATAATTTTTGGTTTATAACTTTGTGTTTTTTACTTCCTTGGATTTTCATTTATGTTTTCCTTAAACACAGTTCACTGAATTGAGATTAATATACAAATACTAGGGTAAAACACCACAAAAATTTACTTTATACTTATGACAGTGCAGGCAAAATTTACTTTTCATGTAAACTGCCTTGTTCTAATGCCACAGAGATATCACATTCTTCTAAATGTACATCTGCTTTGCTAAAAGTATCAAAAGCCTCCACTATAAATGTTATTTTCAAGACATAATAACTTGAGTTCTTTGAAGTTTTCTTTTTTGTTTGTTTGTTTTGTTAATAGAACTGACACAAAGATCTAACTTTCATGAAGCGTTATCGAATCAATGATTGATATAGAAGGCCACTATATCATTCTCTTCTTTCCAACTAAAATTGACAGGTTCTGATTGACAGCTTACTGGCAGGTGGAGAAGTGTCTCACCTATTAATATCCTATAAAAGAACAGAGACAGCTATTTATCTCCTGCCAAAACTCTTTGAGGAGTATTATAACTGACTACCTCTACCACGACCTTGAAAATGGAATGACAATACCAGCTAGGAGGCAGGAGAGAAATTTGACAAAAACAGCTTAACTCCTGAACTTCAATAAACAGCTCCTTCAGAAATTATTCCCACTATGTTTTACACAGTGCAAACACAGGGAATCTCAGTTTCAAAAGATCTGAGATTTTTTATCCTAACATGAATCACACAGTCTTTTCAATTTACGGGGTAGCCAGAGAGATTACATACATCTGACATAAGATATTCTTTAGTGTGTTTTTAATGGATCTTGAAAACATCTAAAAGCATCACATTGCTGGTGATTCCTCTGCATTGCAAAGTACTGGGTTCTTTTTTACTGTGAGGAGTCTTTATACTAATCAAAGATTCAGCTCAGGCTAGAGCTGTAAAACACAGCTTTAAAGTGGGTGAGTGAGCAATTAAAACTAATCTGACTCTGTGCTCCAAACACAAGTCTTTTAACTTTTTTCCCTGCAAATCTGCTCCAAATACTGCTTTCTGCTTTGAAAACTCCTCGGGCAATTTTGTTTGCTTTTCTGTGCACCGATGTGGTACAGTTGACACACTGCAAGGAAGGGATACCACCCAGAGGGACCTGGACAGGCTTAAGAGTTTGGCCCATGAGAACTTAATGAAGTTCAACAAGGCCAAGTGCAAAGTCCTGCATCTAGGTGATGTCAATCCCAAGCACAAATACAGGCTGGGTGGAGAATGGATTGAGAGCAGACCCAAGGCGAAGGACTTGGCAATGTTGGTTGGCAAGAAGCTCCATATTAGCTGGCAATATGTCCTTGCAGCCAAGAAAGTCAACTGTATCCTGGGCTGCACCAAAAACAGCATGACCAGCAGGTCTCCTTGAACACTTCCAATGACGGGACATCTACAACCATGTTACCTGTTCCAGTGCTTTGCCACCCTCTGAGTAAAGAATTTCTTCTTAACATCTAATCTAAATTTCCCCTCTTTCAGTTTAAAACTATTGTCCCTTGTCCTGTCACTATCTGTCTATATAAAAAGTCCCTCTCCCTCCTTTTCATAAGCCCTCTTAAGGTACGGAAGGCTACAGTGAGCCTCCTCTACTCCATGCTGAACAACCCCAGATCTCTCAGCCTGTCCTCATAGGAAAGGAGTTCCATCCCTCTGATCATCTCCATGGCCCTCCTCTGGACCTACTCTAAGAGGTCCCCATCTTTCTTGTGCTGAGCACTTCAGACCTGAACACAGTACTCCAGGTGAGGTAACAGTGTGTTGACACAGGCAGATGCAAACTTAACTTTTCCTTTCCTGTAACTCTCCTTTTACTAAAAGGATCTTCTTATTCAGTATCCTCTCAGTGGATAAATTAATCCTTATTCCCCATGGGCGCCTCCTCTATCACCAATTAGACAGTGATCTTTGTGATAGGACTGGCTGAATGCACTCATTAAGCCTTCTTATTCCTGCAAGAGGAAATGGCAAACCTTGGCTTAGTTGTATCAAAGCAGGACTTTCTCCTACATGCTGGATTTCATTTTGTTTTGACTGTTAACTGTTAAAATTCTTGTTAGTATGAATGAATCCATGAATGAATGGTTCTATCCTACTCTTTTAAAAGACACACCTTCAAACACAGATGTCATGTTTTCAAAATTTTTCAAAATCAGAAAGAGAACTTCAGACCACTTGGGTGTAACTTATCATAACCAGAAGAGGTGCTGAAAATGGAATTGAGAGAGGGAGGAAAATGTAAATATATAAATAATCTGACTCTTTCTACTACATATTAAAAGTAGGATGTGCTACTACTATATCTGCATTTGTGATGTAATTCTTCCATGCAAATAGACAAGACACTTTGACATCTATAATTTCATACCCATTGTTTCCTTTAAATGCTTAAGGTACTCAACTCATATATGTTTTTATTTCCTTTCTATATAACCTTTTTTCTCCCCTTCCTAAAGTACACTTTCATAAGCATGGAGAAAGAAAAAGAATTTGTCATCTAGTACAAATTATACTCATTACTAAATCCCTCTCTCCCACAAAATGTTGGAGGCCAATAGACAGATTTACTACTTTTTTAGAAGTGTTCCATTGACAATGCCATCTGCCACTCATCACAGAACTAGTGAGGTCCTTAATAATTCTTAAATTATTTAAAGACTTTGTAAAGCCTTATATGAATCCACACCTTCTTCCTGTTACCTTTTTGTTCAAAAGGCACAATCAGAGGTCTGAGAGAAAAGGCATGAAGATCCAGTAGAGTTGTTACAGCTTATAGGTTACTACCTGTTTTTAATATATGTGCATATATACATCATATGTATACAAAGATTTACAAACTCTACTCTATAATTTGTATTTTGCTGTAAACTATAAGGAATATTCCTGTAGGATTTATAAAAACACTTGATTTCAGAACTCTTAACTCCAGTATAAAATGACAACTGCCAGATATTAAGACCCAGTAATATATAGAAAAACTCTAAACCAGTCTCCTAGAGTAGATGAAAAAAAATCTGAATATGTGTTGCAACAATGTTTCAAGGACTAAAATAGAATAGATAAAATGAAAATTTAAAATTTATTAACTGTTGTCACAAAATTTTAAAAATTATGCCTATGCAATCTATGACTGAAAAAATAGACAAGAAAATTGTTCAAATTCACCTTCACCATACCTTTTAAATATAAACATGTTTGTATGCAAATATTGTTTCCCAGAAACTAGATTTCATTAGGATTTTTTTAAATATTAATTGTGACCAGCTATACAAATTTGTCAGAGAGGTATTCTGTATCAGAGAGTGGTACTTTCATATTGTTAATTTTTTATACATTAGAAACTGGTCTCCGGCATTTTCCAAAACTGGATTTTCTGTGCAGCTGGTCATTAAAGGGCATGCTGAAGATATGAGAGTGACAACCACGTTGAATTTAACATGAAATAATTAGCATGCATTTGACTTTCAAATATGCTGTAGTATCTAGAGAGTGTTCTTACAGGTTTGCAATATGTAAACACATTTCCCCTTGGGAAAAAGTAATTAGAATTAACATACACTGAGATGACCTGCCCACTTACAATTAGGGTAAGCAACTAAATTACTATTTGTTTTCACACACCAGATCTGACACTTGTAATTGTATATATTTGTTTCCAGTGCCATTTCTGGGTATTGAATTTTGTATTTGCTCTTTTTCAATCTATCTAGGAACAAACAAAAATTGTAATATGCGTACGCTAGCCTAAGGAAGATAAATACAATTTCACCTCTCAAAAAAAGCAGACCAAAGTAACTACAACAGCACAGCTACATGCTATAAAGAAATTATAACTTTAAAAACAAACTCTAATGATTAGATAGAATCACAGGCCAAAGTCTGCCCTCCAGCAGTCCAAGGTAATAATCCTGCAGACCCCTCTCCTTGCTTTGCTAGGAATCAAAAACTCTTATCATTTTGTGATCCCTGTGCCCAAGATGGCCTTCAACCATCAAATCACTCACCAGTCTTCCTCTGTTCATAGACAGCAGGTCCAGCAGGGCACCTCCCCAGGTTGGCTCACTCACCAGCTGTGTCAGGAAGTTATCTTCTACACACTTCAAGAACCACTTACACAGTTTCCAGTCCACTGTACTGTATTTCCAGCAGACATCTGGTAAGCTGAAGTCCCCTACATTAACAAGGGCCAGCAGTTGTGAGACTTCTCCCAGCTGCTCATAGAATATTTTGTCTGCCTCTTCATCCTGGCTGGGTGGTCTATAACATATTCCCACCACGATATCTTTCTTGTTGGCCTATCCCCTGATTCTTACCCATGAACGCTCAAACCTATCACCACCATCATTAAGCTCTAGATAATGAAAACACTCTTTAACATGCAAGGTTACCCCACCACATCTCCTTCCTTGCCTATTCCTTCTGAAGAGTTTGACGTTTATACATAGTAAGAAGTCATAAAGCTGACAGTATGACTGAGAATCAGCTAGAAAAGAAAATGTCAGGAAGTCCATCACCTGAACTCCAAAGAACTTGAAGAGGTAATATAGGCAATAGGTATAATAAACTTATATAGATAAAACATTTACGTTGGAATTATTAATATATATTCATACACATTGCATATAAAAGGGCTTTACAGGAAAATACCAGTGCTGTTGAAGATTGGAGCTTCATCATATATTTATTGTAAAGATAATTGACCAATTAAAAAATGCATGATATCTGATGATTTTTAGTTTGATGATAAAATGTGTATTTAGAACCAGTTAAGGTGAATGTTTGAATTCTTTAAATTCAGGATTGTTTGCATTCTGGTATACTTGTGCACAAGAATTACTTATGTACACGACTGAGCTTGCTATTCACTGTATCATCCAAAGAAAAGGAGACTGTATGACAAATTGAATATTCAAATATGTGACTAAGGGGCTGAAAGAACTGGAATGGTAAGAATGCTGTTGAGCAACTGTGGCTTCCCAAAACCTTGTGGCCCTTCATTTATGAGTGCCAGATGTCTGCATGCTATTGAAACCTAGTTGACTCTTCATGGCCATTCACTAACAAATCGCCAAAGTCAGTAGAGTAGTCATAAAAGCAATGGTCTACCTGTGCCCTGGAGTTGACAGGTGTGAACTATATAATGTCAGAACCAGTGTGTCAAAGCAAATATTGGTTTTGTTGCTCTCAGTAATATATGGGACACATCAGTTCAGTGAATATTAATCTAATTACTCCTATCCCCAGGAGCAAGGTTTATGGTCATATACTTTGCATGTGAATTCACTAAAGGGCACAGTTAAGATTGCTCAAATGCCTTAATTGCTTCTCAATACCTTAATGTGCTTGGATATTCTCTAATTTAACAATGACTCTGAAGAGTCTGGGTTATAATTCTCACTATAATTGCGTCATTCCTGTAACAAAGTTTGTTGTAAATTACGAATATATGCTATTAACCTTGACTTCAATTTAACATCACTGTTGTCTGGAAACTACATCAAGATTTGGGGCCAAGTGTTCAGCTGATGTAAAGCCACTTACCTCCAGCCGAGTCAGCAAAGCTGTGCTGATTTAGATTATATGTTATTTTTCCATCTCTAAACACTGGGCTCAAATAATGACACTAAGCTATACAATAACAGTGTGTACGTCACACATATTAATAAAGTTAAAAGAGTTACTGGTTTTCTACCATTGATTGCCCATCTTGAACTCAGCTGTTTTGGGGCAACCATTTTATTGTCATGGCATTGAAATCAATGAAACATTCATAGATATCCAAAACAATATCACTACAGACACATTATATACTTGTAAATAATGGTAGAATATACCAACATATAGTTAATGTACTCAAGAGTCTTTTAAAATCACCAAATGCTTGGTCACTAAGCAAATAACCTGTCAACAATTTTCAATGTGTATGTTTGTGTTTGTAGTAAACAAAGTACTTCACAGTTAAACGTAGCTGAGAAGGCATCTTTATCACTATTGCCAAGAGGAAATAAAGATGTTTTAGTTTATTTATAAATACTGATGAGAATGTTGATTGTTGGGAAAACTTACTCAGTTAAAGAAATTTGATATAAAAACACTTTTATTTTGGTATGATGAGTACAGATGGCCACAGCAAATCATAATGATAGAAATGACAGAAAAATTGCAGTATAAGATCAAGATTTTAGTTAAACATTTTTTCTGGCTAACAGCTAGAAACAGCTGCTGCATGCAGTCACTCAGCCTAGAAAATTTAGCCTCTGACTCTTTGGTATATGTTTTCATCCAGCAATGACACTATGTGAATGTATTCACAGTAATTCATGGTACATACTTTAAGAACAATAATTCAGGGACTTCTATGTCTTAGAATATATTTTCACTTTGATTTAGTATTTTTAAAAATGCTTTAACCTGTATCAAAAGGGATCAAGAAAAATACTTTCACATATTTTTTCAAGAAGTTAAATTGATGACATATTTTTTCTCCAAATATATTGATATATATTTCCAAATATACAAATGTATACTTTTATGACTTCATCCCATTAGAAGCCCTGTGGTGACAGCTATGGCAAAGTAGCTAACTTAGAAAAAATGAACAATGACTTAGAATGTTTTTGTACATCCAATGTTTAGGTGGCCCAATGTGATGGCTATTAAAAAAAAATTGTTTTCAAAAAAAACACGTTTCACAGAATCACAGAATGAGTAAGGTTGGAAGGGATCACAGTGGGTCACCTCGTCCAACCTCCCTGGTCAGGCAGGGTCATCCTAGAGCACACAGCACAGGATCTCTAGCACAATCTCTCTGGGCAACTTGTTCCAGTGTTTGGTAACCTGCACAGTGAAGTTCTTCCTCATATTCAGGTGGAAATTCCTGTGCATCAGTTTCTGCCTGTTGCCTTTTGTCCTTTTGCTCGGCACCACCGAGAAGAGCCTGGCTCCATCCTCTTGGCGCCCTCCCTTCAGATATTTACATAGATTGATGAGGTTCCCTCTCAGTTGTCTCTTCTTGAGGCTGAACAGGCCCGGTTCCTTCAGCCTTTCCTCATAAGATATGCTCCTGTCCCTAATCATCTTTTTAGCTGTCTGCTGGACCTGTTCCAGGAGCTCCACCTCTCTCTTGTGCTGAGGAGCCCAGAACTGGACACAGTAGTCCAGATGTGGCCTCACTAGGACCGAGTAGAGGGGCAGGATCACCTCCAGCTACCTGCTGGCAGTGCTCTTCCTAACACAGTCCAGGATCCCATTGGCCTTCCTGGTCAGTAGGACACACTTCTGGCTCATGGACAGCTTGTTGTCCACCAGGACCCCGAGGTCCTTCTCTGCAGAGCTGCTTTCCAGCAAGTCAGCCCCCAGCTTGTATTGGTGCTGGGGGTTATTCTTCCCCAGGTAAAGAGCCCGGTACCCTAACTTCTGTGAGTCAAATATTTTCAACATTAATCTGCCATAAAAGTGGAGGCATATAAAGTGCCAGTATCTTTAAAAATTTGTCTTATGAATGCCTTTTAATGGTTGCATCAAGTCGATGAAAAAGTTTCCCATTCCAGAAAAGTCATAGATTATGACTCTTTATGACTTTATTATGACTCTTATTTAGTCACACCGCAAAAGATTTTTCAGATTTCAAGTTACGTGAAATTCTTAATAATGAAAGTCCTAAAAAAAATTGACAATTTTTGGAAAAAAATTCTGAAGTGTGTAAACATAAACAATTTTAAAATTTTATAGAGGAATTAATTATATAACTGATAGGAAAACCCCCAAACAGTCACTTTCAATAAGAAGATTAACTTCAGTCATCTTTTAAAGGAAAAAATTATGATGATTATATATAATGACATATTCCTCATGCCCACAAGCTCATATTTTTTCCAATTTTTAGAAGCATCATCATTGTGAAATGGTAACACTGACTTATAACATAGAAACCTACCTTCCAATAAACTGCATGGCTTCCTTTGTCAGCCTCTGAGTAAGGTTCTCATAGGACAGTGGCTGCTGGATAATCTGATGATTCCTCATTAAGAAGCAGTTTAAGTGTCGAAAATGATAGAAGAATAATATCAAAACCACAAGTGAAATTGTGATTATTAACAAGCAGTAACAGAATGCTTGGAAAGGTACATTGAGGAGGCCAATGTACCGCGCTATTGCCAAAGAGACAAGGGTGATGCCAGCGATTTGGATTGGGATGATAAGGGCTTTCTGAACCCCTTTCAAAAATACGCTGCCTTGGCCAGGTTTGCAGTCTCGAAAATTGGTCACAGTAAGCCCATAAAAGTAATCAAATCCATGACTGAGGGGGTGGTGACAGAAGTCATTACTGCTTTCACAGTTCATCCCAAGATGCCACTTTCCTACAAAGAGAGAAGGACAGGGGGTATTTTTGTAGTTAAATCATCAAACTTAGTTTTAATGTGCACTATCCTAAACATGAAACTGTCACTGTCTGACTGCTATCCCCCTGCCACCAGCATCTATTGTGTGGATCCCTATTTTCTATGTAAACTTTCTTTATGCCTTCATCAAAGATTTTGTTTCATGTCTGCCTATTCATCTTAGTTAGAAATAGGTTTAGCAGAGCTGCTGCTGAACATTAAATTTTGAGTGGGCTAGCAGGTCACTGAAGAGCAAGAGCCCTAGCAGACATTTAACTTTAGAAATTAAACCTTTGTGTATGTGTAGTTGTTATAAAAAAATACTATTTTGTAGCAGCTACTGACTGAACAGGAAGAGCCAATACAGAGTTAAAAAATACCTTCTCTGAAATTTTTCTAGCAAATAATTTGAATAGTTTAAAAAAAAAGAGAAAAGAAGGAGAAAACAGTAACAAATAGGAAATAAAGTAAGAACAGGAAAATTACCAAAGCATTTATTATTTAAAAGATTGCAAAAATCTCTGAAATTGTCAATCACCCTCACAATATACACAGATATATATGATGAGGGTGATTATTTTGCATCTTTTTATTTTATATATGTAAATAAAAAGCCAAACAACAGTAAGAAGTAAATTGCTGCCAAATACTAGCTCTCACAGCATTTTGTCTCACTAGGAAATCACTCTAATTCTGCAATAACTTTGGACACTGACTGACACAAAAAACCAGGAGCCTGATTTGCATTATAGTAGTACAATTTATGTTCATGCTGATTACAGTAAGTATCTAGGTAATACATTCTATGACTCAGGTATAACCTCTTACCATATGCTTATGCATTGCTTAGCACAACAGACCTAACTGTTTGGAAGCTGTTATTTGAATTCAAATGCATAATTATTAAAAAAAACAAAAATTCAGTTAAGCCTGTTGAGATAGTTTGGGGATAAAGCTATGCTCTTTACTCTCACCCAGAAAATGTATTGAATATTTTAAAAAATATGCTGGCCTTGACAAAACAGATAACATTATATATTTCTGGGTCACACTATTTATTTTTCTGAATCAAATATGTAAACATGACCAGCATAATTCTGGGGTTGTCTTAAAGGAAATAAACAAGAAAACCTGAAAACCCAGTAAGTCCTCGTTCCCATAACTTAGCCCAAAGAAATTTGAAATATTTGTTCTACAGGCTTCAGAATACACATGGAAGAAAGTACAAAAAAGGAAAAAAATCACACATAGAATTTTCCCCTTTTCCGAACCATGCCAGCTTTTACACATCTGTAAGAAAGAGTGCTGATGCAGACAGTCCTGAACATCTTCTCTTGGGTCTAGAGAACTGCATATTCATTCTGTACTTCTTCCTTTGGCAATGACAAATGCAGGTACTGCAATACCAAAGAGAGTGAATATGGGGATCGGTTCTGCTTTATTTTAAATAGTACCTAGCAAATGGACTGGATGTTGCTATTTCTCTTCCACAAATAACAGAATGGAGGTATAGGATGGGAATGTCATGTGCTTAAGTTCATCTGCCAGCAAAGGTGTAAAAAAGTAACAGAAATTTGACTCTGAGTGTTTAGTTGAGTCCAGTTCTCTTCATACATCTCTTGACAGTCTAAAGTTAGAAATATCTTCTGTATATCATCAAAGCAGGTATAAAACATTTTCAGGTCTGCTTATGTGCCAGTGAAACTAAGGCCTCTATAGCTCTTTCATCCAATCAGAATTTTTCCCTGTCAGATGGCTCCTCACCTGAGGTGGTATTCTGCTATTTGTGGGCAGAATGGCTCGTCACTACTTTTGACATTGTTCAGTAAAAATTACCATGGTCAATTAAAAAAAAGAGCAGAGCAAACCACTGTACTGACATTTTAGATATTATAATGATGCTATAAAGGGCTAGATAAGGCTGGAACTCTGATTTTCATTCCCAGCATATAAAGACAGATTTTTGAAAAGAAACGCTTCAATGTTTTCTCTTAGTTTTACATGACTGTCTTCATGGAATAATCATAAAGCCAGACACGTAACAAGGTGAGCATGAAAAAACTCTCATCAAGTTAGATAACTGAATTAATGGTAGAGGCTAATGATCATGAATATAAATGACCTTCAAGTTTTAATTTTTCTTTTTTTGCTGTTATATGTCAATCTCAAGGCACCTATAATTCAGTAAAAAACTCAAATTCAAGGTCATTTATTATGATATAGAGGGTTTTTTTAAATGGGATCTCAATAAAACTAGATACTGCAAGCCAGGATAGAAGAATCTTGCAATAACAAATTAGGACAAGGTAAAATATAGGTCCTATTTTTATCAAAAGGGTTTTAGCAAGCACAACAAATTGTTCAATGTCAGGTTGAACTTGGGCCTCAAAAAGAGATTTGTTCAGAAGCAACTGAAGCCAAACAAAGCAGAGAGCAGGTTAGTGGGAAAAGCAACAGAAGCTCTGGTTCAAATGATATCAGCAGCTGTGATGGAATGACAAAATTGCTGTTCTCAAATGGCTGATGAGGTAGAAGGTTCTGATAGATCCTGCACTACTCTGAAAAAGCAAGTGATGACTGGGTCATGTTTTGTTTTATTCCTTGTGACAATAACCCCTGCCTTGAGCTAGTGCTTCAACATATTACTGTAATGTGCTTTACAGTCTGGGGCCCTTCCGAATCTGAGAGCAGCGCAAAATGCTCTCATCTCTTTGCCAAGTGATGCTTCACAGGATGGACACTTCACACAAGCATCATAAGCATTTCAGTAGATTCTACCAAGCTTTTGAGTGAAATTTATGCTTTTAATTGTAAATTATGAGTACCTCAATAATTTGAGACTTAGGCATTTTTCCTTCTCCGTCAGCCACAATTATGATTTCTGCAGAGCAAAAGCAATGCAATGAAAGGCAAGTAGAAATGTGAGGCAAGTATTATTCAGCCAAGAAACTTCACTCAGAACTCAGTTTTTTGGAACCCAGAATCCTGAGGATACTACAAAAATCCATGTTTCCCGTCTTTTTTTCCCCTCAGTTGAAAAGGGAGCAATCTGAAGACTTAATTGTATATAATGACATGTTTCTTTTGGAATGATTTTATTTTTCAGATAAATGGCAAGAGGCAAGATGTGGAGCAAGATGCAAACAGAAATATTTTATGTGCTCAAAGAAATATATTTATATCAATAATAATAAAAAGTGTACGTGCATATGCTATTACCACGGTTTATGAATAACTACTGCATTAATCCCAATCTCTAGACTCAGTCAGTCTTGGATTGGACACCTTACTACTGTAATGTGTCCAAATATTACATCACCTCATTCTGGAAGAAAGAAACAAGTACCAGTTATCAATTAGTTTTTCAACTTTGGAGATAAGCTACATAGGTAGATTTTAAACTTCTCTGGATAGCAAACAACATACTGGATAAAAATAGTGAGGAAAAATTAACCTTTTACTCAACTGTAATTGATCATAGTAGTAGTTAAAATAATACTTATCTAAGTGGAATTTTGCATTATGAATAGCTATTTCCTGTAAAACATCATCATTTCTTTCTACTGTTGAAATATCACATATTCTATGCATCTGCTCTTTCTTAAAAAACTTGGGGTTTTTGCAGATCCGATTGTGTGTCTTCCTAACAGATGTATTGGATGTCACCTTCTTTGTGTCACAGGGGAAAACAATGAGGTAGAAAAGTGTATACATAGAGTAGATTTATAGCCAAAATATATTTTGGGATGTATCAAGCAAAAGGAAGCATATATTCAGAGGAGCAAAAAGTATAAAAAGAAGCAAAAATGCATTTAGGGAAGAGAAAAATGTCCTTAAGAGAATAAAGCAGAGAGCAACTTGGGAGAAAGAAAAAAAAAGAAGTGACATTACAGGTTTGAGGAACTGAAAGGCTTAAAATTACCCTTATGCCAATCCATCACTGGTGCAGGATTTGACAATAATTTGTTTGGGAACTGCTGAGTTAGATTGAACCCAGCAAAGACTCCCTGACCCAGACCAATATGATGTGGTAAGAACACCAGCAGAGGCAGAAAATGGGCTGACTGGGAATCAGACTCTGTCTACCTACTCTTCAAATGTACATAATTTTTCTTTTTTTCATTTACATATGCTTTATCCCTAATTTTAATGCACTTCTTGATTTTTGGAAACCTTCATTATACTCTAAGGATATGGTGATATTACATTTTATGGTCTTATAGCTATCATTCAGGCCACTTGGAAGAACTGTTCATTAAGTATCATGGAGATAACTTCTGGAGATCTAAGTGGCAAGCTGTCATGTTGCAGTGAAAGTAGTTAAAAAAAGAACATTAAGTAGGTCAGCCCCAGAAAATGAGTTATATTACACTGCTTGTTACAAATAGAAAAAACTCCAGCCTTTAATTGAATATGGAGCAATAGGAATTAACTCCATGAGGAACATGACAAATTATGAATGGCTTTTTTGCACTATGATTCAAATACACCTGCACTAAATATACTTCTGATAAGATTTTCTGGTTTTCTTGTTTGTTTCTGTCAGGATATCATGGTATTTTATCCTTTATAAGAGCAGGATATAGCTAAGTAGGATTTTTAGTTAGGAACACTAACTAAAGTTAGGTTTGTCTACACAATACAGATATTTTTTGAACAGTGGTGTGAATTGTTAGCCTTGCTAAACAGCCTGATTTTTTAAACAAAAATCACTCCCCAAATTACAAGTTTCTGTTTAAAAATCAATTTAAAAAATCAAATTGGATGCATCCTTCATCTAAATTAATTTAGTAATTCCAGTGTTATGTTCTCTGAACAACAATTCCCCGGCAATTCCAGTACAGAAATACATTATGTAATACAAGTTGTAGTCTAAAATAGAAGCAGTCTGGAATAAGTCATTGGTCAAATTAAAAAACAAAAAAGGGACCAATCTTTAATTTTATACTTTTAGGATATTAACTCCAATTCTATTTAAAATTCACCTAGTGGGATTCCTTTGCCTATCACTGGATATTTATGCTGCAGTTAATTGTCTAAACTGTCTTTACAATGAGAGAGAAATACATTTTTATATTACATTTCTACTACAGGATAAGAAAACTTTCCTAGAAATGCCCTTTTCTGGCTGATGACTAAGAAAAGAATCCAGGCAGTTCTTCCAGGTAATAACTGTCTACTTTATGGATATTTAAAAACTGGTGAAATGAATTGTACCACTGTTCTGACTTGTACCCTGTGATCAACCCCTTATTGTGATCAATCCCTCTGTTGTAATCAAATTCCTATTTATACTGAAAACTTTTCAGTTTGTTCATCATGTTTCTCCAGTACCTTGCACAGTGAGACTATAACTACACAAGTGAATTAGACATACTTATCAGATTAGTGTTTCACATAGGCATGAGAATGTGCTCAGCTTTGTGCCAGAAAAATAAATTCATTATGCTGTGGGGGGAAAACGCTTAATGCAAACCCTTAATAGTCTATATGAGAAGCTAATGTTCTTTTGATTTAAATGAATGTAAAATAGTGTTGCACATGTGTTGTTGCACAATTTTACCTATTAGAGCGGTTGCATAACCTTTCTGTTTCAGGAGTTTGGAAAAAGTTATTTCTTCAGAAGGAAGTCCTCCGGAAGAGGCAGAAAATAAGAAGACACCAACTCGTGAGAAGGCAGCCATTCCTAAATACAATGAAAATTAATGAGACCTGGATAATAGGGAGAAACTACTTTCTGCATGCACTTTTTTGCTTCAGGTGGTATCACTTAAATGACACATTACAACCAGACATTAAATGTTGCAAGTGGCTGATACAATCATCCATTTAGCTGAGTGAGGTCTTCTCTGTATTGACATCAGAAATTGAGAAGTTTAGAAAAAAAAGTCTCTGCTTATAACCATGGGGCCAGACATGACATAAACAGCTGCATGTCCTTCTGTAGATGTTCTAAGGTTTTTTCAGCAAACCTGAAAAAAGTTGAGCTTGAATAATTTATTTTTCTTGTACCTGGGGTAGGAATGGAACTGAGGACTGAGATCATTCCCAAGTTCTACTCTCCAAATTTCCACTTTCTTCATACATGGTTTTCTATAAGCTTTTAAGGTTATTTAAGAGAAGGTACATTGAAATAAGGCAGTCTTACTACTGGGTATGTAAATATCATGAGGTCAAAAGAGCAAGAGAGAATCTAATTCCGGAAATAGAGTAGCCAGGGCTCTCAGCATTGATGGGAGAGGACCAGCAGTCCAGTGGCACGAAGAAACATGATTCAATGCATTCAGAGTGCACTAAAAGAGCATCAGGTATCGGCTAACAAGACAATATCTAAATAAGGCACAGTAATTTCTATATACTGAGAGTCTGAGGAACACAAATGAGTTTATAAGCTACTCTCAGGATGAGGAACTTGAGAGCTCAGGTTCATGAAAATTAGATTACTGGGATTCCAGATGAGAGCTGGCTCTGAAAATAGACAGACAGAACAGAGAATATCTATGCAAATCTGTGCAGATGTATCTTCAGGAAGTCTAAATTATGCAACTGGATGATTGCAGTGCCCAAATTACGTGGTTGATGTAGACAACCAGAATCTTCAGTCAGGTATCCCTTGTGGTTACATGAGAAAAAGACTTGTTAGACTGGTTTATCAAAGACAGCTCAACTTCATATGTTGACTTCAGTTTTTTACCCCAGCTATTTTTGTTGATTAACAGTTTAGTTTTAGTCATATATATATATCATTTATTTATATTTAATTTTATGTATTAAAGCTCTTGTAATGGAAATCAGTGTAATTCCCTTAAGCTACAGAAATGAAAGTACAGACTTATGTTTGGGGTTTTTTTTCATCATCACCTTTCTCTGAGTTTGTGTCTCATCAAATACTGCATTTTGGAATCTTTTTCTCCAGCTCTATTAGCAGGAGTTTTAGATTTATAACATCTTCTTCCACATCATGATTCTACTGCCTTGTGTAATAATCATTTACTAGGTCTTCAGTGATATTTGGAAGCACTCCATATTTAGCCATTTTGTAATTTAAGTAAGAAAAAGTTCAATTTTTGCACCTACGTGGAAATGATCAGTGAAGAAAAAAATTAGAATTTTTCAGAATTAAGAACATTTTTCAGAAATAAGAACAAGAATTATAATGGAAAGTGACCTGTTGCTTTACCTACAGTAAATATTAATAGCAATATAGCTGTAACAGGTATATGAAATTTTCCTTTGCAGCTGAATGTAATGGAAAATTTAGCAAGTTATTTTAGCTGGCACTTTTGCAAAAGCTTGTTACTTGATTTGAATGAGCATGAACATATCAAGTAGGCTCCAGAGTCTTGCTTTGCTTTCATTCCCAGAAGCAAGGACAGGATGTTTTATCACTAATGAACAAGTGATCTGATTAATGTATAATGATCCTTGCTAAAAATGATGTTAAGGGAATGTTAAAGTTGCATGGCTAAGCACTGAGAGGCTCAGTCCCAGCACACTAAAATAAACAGACTAGATCTTCACTTGCTCAAATGGGCTTTGGATCAGGTATTTGAAAAGTAAGAAAAATTAAATGCATGTATTCATAAGATACTTAACACTGTATATGGGTAGATACAGAACAAAAATATGTAAAAAGAAGGGAGATTTTTTGCTTTCCTCTTCCCAGTCTTAAGAGCAACTTGAACACCTTAATGAGCTGTCCTGCCCCCAACCTTCCCCCCGCCAAAACAACAAGAAAAACAAAAAAACCCCAAAAGGTAAACCCGACAACTTGTCTAAACCAAAAGGTTTTGTAGAAATCAAAATGTCTGAGTGTAAGCATTTACATGGGGTTCTTCCGTTGTGTCTTTCTAGATGCATCTCTGTGATGTCCAGCACTTGGGCTGCCCACCAACATACTGGGAACAGCCTGAATGCAACTAAGGAGGAAGGCAAAGAGAGAATTGAATAGTGGTCATTGAATACTGGAGGAAGTTGATGGATTTTGCGGACAGATGGACCGCTCCTTACATTAAATAACCACAGTCAAATCTTTTTCTCGGTATTTAAACAAAAAAATATTTTACTCACTAAAAAGACTTTATTTTTTGTGTCAACTCTTCTCAAATGCAAAAATTTGCCATATATATGAAATATTTCAAAAGTTGATGAGCTTGATCAGTAAGTGGAAAGACTGATCATTTATCCTCACCTAACTTGGTAATGATAAAGATATCAAGAAAGGTCAGACAAAAAAAACCTGCATAGAGTTTACTGTAAATAAAATATGATATTTATATATAAATAAAGTAATGGGGTTTTACCTGATCTTATAGGATATCTCCCTGTCAGGAAAGCTGCCCTGCTTGGAGTACAAAGTGGGGCTGCTGCTATATGCTGAGTAAGCGTCACTCCTTCCTCTGCTAGCCTGTCAATATTAGGGGTTCTGGAGAAACATAAGCAGGAAAAAAAAAAGAATACACAAAAATTATTATTTGGAAACAGTTATGGTAAGATCAAGGCATCTTAGGCAAGAACTATTAAGGAAATCAAGTTCAGACTTACTGTATGTAAATTATCAAAACCATGATGGGGTTGCAGTTCTAAATACTATCATGTCAAATATTTTTACATTAGGTGTCAACACTGAACTGAGACACTGTGCCACTGTGCCAAAAATCTTTTTTCCCACTTTCATCTACTCTTCATGGCCAATACTAAATTGTTACACCTAGACATATTGCATTGCAACCCTTTTTAATGGATTCCTTGACCCAGAACTGTAATTTTGCAACCTTTCTGCTTCAGCAATGGGGAAAAACAGAGACTGGAGAAAGGTTGTGCTTCCTTACTCCCTACTTGGTGTCACATCTGTCTCTCCCCAGTAAAAGGTTTTTGGGATAGGGATAATGTTGTATGGTGCTATCAGTTAATAGAGGAGATTCAAAAAATTACAACTCTGTGTTACACTCTATATTAATGGTATCTACATGTCTGACATGATTATGTCTGCAATTTTAGAGCCAGGGGCACAACCAAGTTCCCATATCTGCCTGGGAAACCTGTCTATGACCTGGCTCATCATGCAGATGAAAATTGGTTCCTGCAGGAAGAAATCCTGTGTCCTTGGTTCTACAGATAAAAATTACTAATGTAGACTGGCCAGGAGCTGCAGCATGCTCTAATAGCTCTCTGACCCAGGAGATTAATGACCATGACCTCAAGGCACACTAGTGCTCCTATCATCTAAGTCTGAATAGTCAGAAACATTAATTTTCCAACTGACTTATTTGCTATCAGTAACATCACCTACTAATAACAACCAGTATGATGAAATTTCTTCATATTCCAAAGATCTAATTCTGAATTCTCACAACAGAGAACATAGATCTTGGAGTCATTCTGTTCCGTGTGATGGGAGTAATTCAAGCATCAGTATTGTACATAATTGTTTCCTGTTTAAAACTAGAATCTGTAACTTTATTTTCTTTTTTCAGTTATGAAGAGGTTTTACTTCTAACTAACATCAGCAGGAACAAGAGCATTTAACATTTGACAGGACAGTGCTTTTAGTCTGAATGTTTTATTTAACTTTGTCAAAGCCTTTGCACCACAAACAAAATGACTAGGTACTACTTTCTCTGTTTAGAAAATCAGCACACCTAAGCTGGTAATAAGGAACATTCCAGGGAACATTGCTGCATTATTCAGGCATATTAACATTTGTTTTAATGAATATATCGATTACTGTATGAAGATAAATTAATGAAAAACATTTATAATTGGTTAACAACAAGCTTGTCTCAAATCATGAGTGCTTCAAAATATGCTTAATTCATCGTACCTGTGTCATGTATATTTTAAAAGGAAACTGGTGACTATACTTTGCTTCCCTAGAGCTACCCTTATTTGGTTGCTTGCTCAATTCTCTGTCTATAATGCAACTTTTCAGCAGGATAAACACATCAGATAAGTCTTTTGTCAAGAAAAGAAAACAAAGATTGAAGATGTTATTCTCTGGAAAAAATATTAACTTTGATTACTTATAAAAAGCCTAATCAAATCTCTAAATGTTCTGGCATTTTTAACTTTAAAAATCCATAGAAAAACTAAATACAAACCTGTGACTCCCCTAAATTATCAACATACCTTAAGGTTTTGTTCCCATAACATCCCAGGTCTCCAATACCAAGATCATCAGCCATCAGCAAAATGATATTGGGATTTGAAGCACTGTGTGTTTTGATACTGTTTATGGCACACTGACAAATTATTAGAAGTAAAAGGGGTCCCATCTTCTTCCTGGTGTGTAAGAAGAGGTGGAAAATATAATAAATAGACACCTTTTAAAAAAAATTTACTTTTAATCTAATTTTGTCCTATTATTGACCTTTGTATAGCAAAAGACAAAAAGAAAGATTGAGTATTTTTATTTGGCTTTTTTTTTCTCAGGATTTTCTTTAACATTTTCTATTTCATAGTTCTTAAAATAAAAATGCATCTTTTAGTATATAGCTAATTTTTCCTTCTACCTCTTTACAGAGGTGAAGCCTTTAAATAAAGACAAAGAACTAGCTACAACCTCAGTGACAATCTTGCATACACAGATGCACTGCACAGCAATAAATCATAAACAGCAAGCAAAACTTGGGTTTTTTTGTCATTTTCGTGGAGGGGGTTTCTAGGTCCAAATGTGATTTGAGGAACAGAGAACCTGAAATCATTTAGGACCAAAATTTCCAAGGCTCATTGCAGGAAAAAAGTTAATCAATTCTGCTACTGAAGTAAATGACTGAATTTCTATTCAACAGTAAGAATGTTTAAGAAAAAGCTTTTCACAAACATTTTAAGTATTAGGGCCTATAGCAAAATCATGTGAAAATATTTGATATCAGATCACAATGTTCTATAAACAATAGTCATGCTATATCCAACCTAAAACGGGAAGAAGAATGTATTGTACACAATACAACATACCATTATACACTTTTATGATAAAAGCAGAGTATTTGCAGATGTGCATGCTATGAATGCTACTTTACCTCAAGAGGGACTTGTCATATCTCTGTTTTAAACTGCATTGATTATGTCCTGTCTGAAACTGAGTGCCTGTAGGCTGTAATGGACCATGCCAGATATACACATCAAAAAGAACAAACTCTGTTTCTGTCTCTCTTTTGTGTCTGCTAATACTCCCATCTTTTCTGGATGTAGGCAGCCTTTTTCAAATGCAGATGAGGCATGAGTCACACCTGTACTCTGGATTATGCTGGGACAAGAAATAAAGTGGAAGAAACTAGGAATGAGGTAGAAATTTGAAAGTGAAAGAGTAGAAAAAGGAACTAGAAACAAGAATTTCCAGAGAGAATGGGGACAGCAGGTCAAGAAAAAAATCTTGAAAATCAATGAGTTATGGTAGATAAAAGTAACTGGAGAGAAGATAAAGAAGCCAGAAGTGAAAGAGCTAGTACAAAAAGACTAGACATCAAGGGAGACAGATTCATAAATCAGTGAGGTGGGTAAAAGTATTTGTAGAGAAGACAAAGTAGCCTGAACTAGAAGAGCTTACACTGACTTGAATAGCAAGAATAGAAGTTGAGACCCAGCTGAAATGAGAATTGCAGCCTGAAATAAGGAGAAATGGGAGAAGAATAAAGAAACTGAAATGAATAGTATCACAGTGAATAGAAAAACAAAACTGAGGAAAAGAGGTGAGAGAACTGGGAGCATTTGGGATGAAAGATCTGAGGAGTTATGATTAAGGTCAATGAAGAAAACTTAGTGGAAAGACCTTGGGAAGATAAGACTTGGGACTAACATAAGTGAGAAGAGATCAAAATAGTGGGGATCAACCAACACAGACTGGGACTTCTGATTCCCACCTTCATTATTGGCATTCTGTCAGAAAGTATAGGTGTGAAGAGGATTTTAACTCTTTTAGTAGTTCTTCACATACAGATAAAACAGTAGTAAGTGTATTAGCTATTTTATTTTACTGCTTAAGGTATACTTTATAACTCATTCACCTCACTTTGGTGAGAACAGTTCTGGTTTAGACTTCAGCTGGCAACATCTTGTCACTGCAGCAACAGATCATTACCTGCTTTACCCCATGGGAAGCAATCTACTTCATTTCAGACATGGAAATACATACACAAACTTTGCTGCTAAAACACTGAATGCATTTTTGTTGGGCGGGATGCATCTAACTACCCCTTCATCAAATAACCATACTAATGAAGCTGTGTAATGCCTGCCATGTCACAGACTTTTAATCTGCACTGTAGATGCACCTTTCTTTCCTGTAAGGATAAACAAGAGTGATTTGCTTCCCAACCAAAAATAATGTTATTAAAAGTTGTCTCTGATACTCCTGCACTCTGAAGATGCTGTAAACTCTCACACGCTGAGCTATTTGCCTTCAACTGATATCATGTCCCTGAAGTGAAATCAAGAAGGAAACAGGAAAAAGAAAATAATCCTAACAACTATGATTTCTCTGGTGTACTCTCTCTGCAGCAGATATTCATGTGTCTTGAAAGGATGTGCAGGGAAAGCAAGAAAAATCAGATGGATGAAATTGAGTGGAACAGACAACAGCAAAGAAACTCAAAGGAGCAAAAAGGGAACGACATGAGAAGAATGAAGCTCTGAGAATGCTGAGGGCCATCTGTGCCACACCAGGGTTTGTACTGGTGAAGAGACAGGCATGTGCAGACCTAACATGAAAATGATGACACCAAATCAGATGAAGCTTCCACTTAACCTCATATTTCCCCTCTGTCCACAGACAATTCAAATGCTTAAGGAAAGAATGAAAAAAACTTGGCAAATTAATTATTTTACTAGCACACCCTTCTAGCTTTTGGCAGTTACCATTAAAGGTATTTTTGACAGGACAGCATTGTGCTGTATACCTCTCCATGGATCTTTTAATCTTCATGAATTTGCTACAGTCTATTTTGAATCAATTAACTTTTGTTTTGGTTTGGTTTTTTGCATTGAACGAATTTGATTTTTTTTTTTACTTCCACGACTTTAGATGTTCCTGTAGGAGGCATCAGCTTTGAAGGCTTGTGTTTTATATTCAAGTGGCAACATTTTTCCTTTTTTTTTTTTTTTTGCATGCAGGACACATAAGTGCGATTTTTAACCTTTGCTTCACTTTCCCTGCGATATAATAGAACTAAAAGTAGCATCTTTCTTTTCAAGTTGGCTGCAAAGTTGAATTGGTTTAAGAGGTGCTTAATCTCCTACAACAAGAGCCATATAAAAATTTGTATTTCACACACCCTATTTCAACCTACAATACTTTAAGCACTGTATATGAACTTATAGACATGACTACATACATACACATGTGTCAATATGCACATATATACATGTACATGGGGAGAACACACACATCTTACTTTTTCTACATATCTTCAAATTACGTTTTTGTGATTCTAACACATATTTTCTATTTGTATTAAAAACCAAAGTATAAATGTGTAAGAGCAAATGGATGAAAATAAAAACACCGATATAATCCACTATTTCTTGATATTTGTTTGCTTGGGACTTTTTTCCACATCAAGATAACTGACTCAAGACACGGTTATCATATAATCACAGAACACCCTGAGTTGGAAGGGTCCCACTAGGATCCAACTCATGGCCCTGCACAGGACAGTCCCAAGAATCACACCAGGTACCTGAGAGTATTGTCCAAACACTTCTTGAACTCTGGCAGGCTTGGTGCTGTGACCACTTCCCTGAGGAACCTGTTCCAGTGCCCAGTCACCCTCTGGGTGAAGAACCTTTTCCTAATATCCAACCTACACCTTGGGTCCTGTCACTGGTCACCACAGAGAAGAGATCAGTTCCTGCCCCTCCTCTTCCCCTCACAGGGAAGTTGTAGAAGTTGTAGACTGCGACAAGGTCTCCCCTCAGTCTCCTCTTCTCTAGGCTGAACAGACCAAATGACCTCAGCTGCTCCTCACACGGCTTCCCCTCAAGGCCCTTCACCATCTTCATTGCCCTCCTCTGGACACTCTCTAATGGCTTAATGTCTTTCTTATATTGCACTGCCCAAAACTGCACACAATATTCAGGTGAGTGCAGAGCAGAGCGGGACAATCCCCTCCCTAGACTGGTTGGCAATGCTTTGCCTGATGCCCCCCAGGACATGGTTGGCCCTCCTGGCTGTCAGGGTACTGCTGACTCATATTCAATTTGCCATCAACCAGGACCCCCAGATCGCTTTCTACAGCACTGTTCTCCAGCCTCTTGTTTCCCAGTCTATACACACAACCAGGGTTACCCCATCCCAGGTACAGAATCTGGCACTTGCCCTTGTTAAATTTCATACGACTAGTAATTGTCCATCTCTCTAATTTTTTTAAGTGTCTCTGCAGGGCCTCTCTGCCCTTGAAGGAGTCAACAGCTCCAGACAATTTAGCATCGTTAGCAAACTTACTTGGTGTACTTTCCAGTCCCGCATTGTTCATGAAGATGTTGAAGAGTACAGGGCCTAAGATGGAAGCCTGTGGAACCGCAGGTGACTGACAGGTCACCAGTCTGATGTTACCCCATTTACTATAACGCTTTGCACCTGATCCATCAGTCAATTGCTCACCTGTTGCATGACATGTTGACCCAATAGGACAGGAACAGCTAGATAATCTTTATCCCGTTTACTACAGGCAAATGCATCTCTTACAAGAACAACTATATGAAACTCTTTCAAACATCTCTTCCCAACTGAATCATCTCAGCATTTTTATTGTTTGATTAAGCAATTTATCTCTAAACTACTCTTTTAATGTAACAGAGCCCTTTGAGAAAATGCTTAATATACTTTATCCTTGAAGGTATAGTATTTTTCTGATGAAATAAGCAACATTTAAAGATATTGACCTCATTAAAAAATGCTGTGCTATCCTTAAGCACTATGCAAAAAAAAAAGTATCTTACTTAATTGAATGCTAGAACTCAAAAAATTTCTGTAAGTCATAAAAATCACTGTAAACAAACTAAAGACAACTCTGCTCTCCACAAGATTCTGCAAAGAGAAAATTCCTCAGCTTAATGAGAAAAAAAATAAGTTTTTAAATTTAAGAAATGGTAAAGTAATATTATATACTATTAATAATTTTCTGGTATCAGCTTAAGATCGGTTCATATCTCTCAATTAATTCCTCTCTTACAAGCCCGTAATATCTGTTACATCTTTGATGTAATAGAACTGTTTTTCTGAAATTTTCAATTAGATTTCAGTATGCATATTTAGGTAACTATGTACATAAATGAAAATCTGT